TCTTGGCCCAGATTTGGGGATTAAGTGAAGGGTACCTAATGAATAGAACCTATACATTCATATACATCTGGCTTGAGAAAACTCCCCTATCTCTCTCTTTGTCTTTTTTTTTTTTTTTTTTTTTTATTTTTTTTTTTTTGAGATGGAGTGCCGCTCTTGTTGCCCATGTTGGAGTGCAATGGTGAGATCTTGACTCACTGGATTCACTGCAATCGCTGCTTCTCAGGTTCAAGTGATTCTCTGGCCTCAGCCTCCCGAGTGTCTGGGATTACAGGCGCTTGCCACCACGCCCGGCTAATTTTTGTGGTTTTAATAGAGATGGGGTTTCACCATCTTGGCCAGTCTGGTCTTGAACTCCTGACCTCAGGTGATCTGCCCACCTCGGCCTCTCAAAGTGCTGGGATTACAGGCGTGAGCCACCACACCTGGTCTCCTCTCTCTCTTATAAGTAGACTTTTCTCCTTGCTCCTTTGAAACAGAAACTTTTTGTAAATAAATAAAGTATATAAAGGTGAGCCATATTGGGAAGAAGGGGCTAATAGAGAAGTTAGAACAACCAGGTAACCAGATTTTTTTTTCCTATTCTTTTGGGGAAAAAAAAAAATTTTTTTTTTTTTGGTCTTTCTGAAACTGGTACTATTTCAGAATGATAGGTAAAAGTCTCCATGGAGAAGCAGGGGATGTGATGCCATGTTTACTTGCCCCTACCCCCATAATTATCTTATCTTTTCACCTATTGAGGAAAGTTGGGCTCACATAGACTCTCTTCTTCATGGGATAGACCCTGAGTTTCATGTCTAAGAGTACCAAACTGGAAGTCATAAAGAAATCTGCAGTAGGAATTTAATCTGTAGATTTGGCCACATAAAGTGCAGGTGTACTTTTTATGTTACACTTCAAAACACCTTGAAAGCCATGTTAGTCTTTTTGCTGTCTTTAACAGTTAAGAAATTTTGCATGAGAATTACCTATTTTGTTTCTAGTAGTAGTTTTTCCAACCTTTCCCAGGCCTTCAATCTCTAATTCTGAAGTTTTTAAGAAGTTAGTTACCTACAGTTAATACTTCTGCCATCTTTGAATTGCTGTTATACCATATAGGCCTATGAGAGAGAGTTGCCAGACTTAAATAATTATTTATATGCTTAATTTCTTTCAACATACAGAATAATTGTTTAAAAATTTTTTTTCTCTGTAAACTGTAACTGAAACACATGCTGCACTGGAAAGCAGTGTTTCAAACTGCTGTACCCTCTGCCTGAAGACAAGTTTTTATTTCTTTATCCTAATACCCAACAGCAATTAGTATCACCTTAAAAGATGAAATAGAGGCCGGGCACGGTGGCTCACGTTTGTAATCCCCGTACTTGGGGTGGCAGAGGCCAGCGGATCACAAGGTCAGGAGTCCGAGACCAGCCTGACCAACTTGGCGAAACCCCGTCTCTAAAAATACAAAAATTAGCCAGGTGTGGTAGCACACGCCTGTAATCCCAGCTACTCAGGAGGCTGAGGCAGAATTGCTTGAACCCGGGAGGCAGAGGTTGCAGTGAGCCGAGATTGCGTCACCGCACTCCAGCCTGTGCAACAGAGCAAGACTCTGTCTCAAAAAAAAAAAAAAAAAAAAAAAGATGAAATAGATGCTCATGTCTTTGCTAAGTCAGTGTGGTGCCGAAAATGATAAGGAGGGAGTATTCCAATAGTGACCTAAAATATTTTAATCAAGAATTCCAGACACTTTTCTCCACCCATATTTTGATACGTGGATTTAACATATGCTGTCTTAATTTAGTAGTAAAATTTTGAGTATTGCACGTATATAATACTAGAGAAATGTAAATGTTAATAAGACTTGAGGACCAGATAATTTTGGGGATACAGTTGTTAGTTGTAAAGTAAAAATTTCAAGTTTAATGATTGAAAACCAGTCTCACTGCTTCATTAGCACAACTGGTTTGGAAGGTTCGCTTCTGGGCGAATAAAGTGAACAGTAGCAAAGGATGGGATTGCTACTTTAAAAATACTAAAATATGAGGATAAAGAGAGATGTCTGTCAGAGGATGTTTAAAATGAAATAACTGCTTAAAAGCAAGGGACTGAAGATGTGCAAATGGTTATGAGGTCATTGTATTAAACAGTAGCATTGTGCTTCTCAAGAAGAAATTAGCAGATAATCTGCTGAGCACTATAATTTGGGTAGTACTGAGATGAACAGTTGTTTTAGTTGTTGCCTGACCCACACCCCACCCCCAGTAGTCTGGAACTGTGCATATTATGAAGAGGTCATGTGACGCTGGTCCTTGGTTTTGCTCATTTATCCTGTCAAAACAACTTAATGTAGATGGAAAGAAATGAACAAAATGAATAGAATGGGTTAGCTGCATCAGCTTTAGTTTATATTGAAGGTAATGAATGCTGCAATTGGGATAGTATAGTATATTAAGGCCCCAGGAATATCCAGCTCCATAATGATGAAGAGAAGTTTCTAAAAAGCAACAGTGGCTAATCCATTCTAAGTCTCACTTGACGTTTTAATGCTACTTTTTGATACAGTATTTTAAAATTTTATCATTGTATTCATGATAATTTGATTGACAGTTGGTAATATTTAAACAATACATGGTTCCTCTTATTTTACCTTCAGCTGTAATTTAGTATAAAGTTCCTATTTCTTTTCAATAATTATTATATAATAACAAACATGAATCTTCTGAGAAGAAAATTATTTTAGAAGTTTTGCAAAATATTTAGGGTTTGTTGTCAGTGAAACATGAGCTTTGAAGCAAACCTTCATTTGTCTCTTAGTTCTGCTTTTCCTGTGAATTTGAGGGAGATAATAAAATTTTCTGAGTCAGTTCATCTCACAACATTTTTCTGAGAATTAAATGAAGTAAAGCAGCCAGCCAGTAAATAGCAAATACTTGGCAAAAATTATTTTTAAAACCCCAGATGTTCCTTCTGATGTGTGTCTTATGTTAGTTTTGATCTACTTTATTATTGTCTTAAAGTCTTTTGGGTGCTAAAATAATGTACTTCTATAAGATATTTTATGAAATGTTCCTAGATTTAAAAAAAAAAAAATTTAGTTACAGAGGGAACACGTAGACGAATTATTGAAAGAAGCCCCAAATTGTGTGTTTAGGTCCCCCCATTTCCTGCTTTGCTGATGACAATCTGGTGTCCTGTCTTTCTAACTTCAAACAGTAAGCAGGGGTTCCCAGATCTCTTAACATAAATAATACTTTTCAGAAAGGATAGAAACACTTAGATCTAGAAAGTAGCCTGTATTTATAGTATAGATGTCTTCTGGGCAAATTAGAGATAGAATAATGTAAATATTTCTATGGAATTTTTAGATTGCCATTCAGTGTATTCTCAAGGAAAATTAAATACGGATTTTTGATGGCAAAGAAGTCCCCCCTGTTTTTTTCCCTCTGTACCTTGCTATAAATAAGTAGTTGGTAGCTTTTTTACAATAAACTTTTACAAACCATTTTTAAAAATCAAAAGCTGTTTGCGAGTTGATCATTCTGCATAGGTTGTATTGGACTTAACTGAGATTCAGAGACCCAATTTCAATTATCATTTTTCTTTTAAGTCACAGGAATTTTTTATCCTTGGGGAAATGCTAACTGCTTATTAAGGGGACACACACACACACACACACACACACACACACACACACACACACTTTTAAAGGGGTATCGCAGGGGAAAAGACATTTATGGAATTCATTCAACAAATGGCTGTTGAACAAGTCACTATGCTAGGTTGTCAGGTGCTAAAGATAGAACCCCAAAAAGGTATTTTGTCACTGCCTTTTCATGACAAAATAAAGCCTCTGAGGGCTTATTCTGTGGGGATAAGAGTCAATATAATGTTGCCTTTATTAAGTGTTTTTTAAGAGGCATGTATGTAGTATCCATTGGTTTTGATGCTGCTGGGCAGAGTAGAAATAGGAGTAGTAACTTGGTTTCCTTTTATTACATTCTTCATTGGGTACTTTTGGTGACAGAGTGAGAACCTTAAAGTTCAATTAATAATTGATGTAATAACTGAAGAGAAAAATTAATGAACAAGAAGGTAGATCAGAAAACATTGCCCAGAAAGTAGCATAGAGAAGGAAATGGAAAATGAGAGATAAATTAAAGGATAAAATAAGGTTATATACACACACACATTTAAAAATTGTTTAAAAAGAAGAGTTGGGAGGGGAAAAAAAGAGAATGAGAGGAGACAGTGTTTAGAGAGAGAATAACTGAGAATTTTCCTGACTTAAATACTTGAGTATTTAAGTTATTGCTTTTTAAAAAAAAAAAAAAAAAAGGCTTCGTGCAGTGGCTCACACCTGTAATCCCAGGCTTTGGGATGCCAAAGTTGGAGGATCACCAGAAGTTCAAGACCAGCCAGTGCATCATAGCAAGACCTCATCTCTACAAAAAATTTAAAAATTAGCCAGGCAAGGTGGCACATGCCTGTAGTCCTAGCTACTTTGGAGGCTGAGGTGGGAGGATCCCTTGAGCCCAGGATCTGAGGCTTCAGTGAGCTATGATAGCACCACTGCATTCCAGCCTTCGTCACAGAGTGAGCTCCTGTCTTTCAAACAAACAAAAATAAAAACAATGTTTTGGTTAAAGATAGATTGATTTTAATCAAGGCAAAGATTGAACTGGAATTTATATTTAGGTCTTTCTGCTTCTAAAGCCTATGTTCATTTCCTGACATTAAATTGCATGTCTAGCAATTGATGACTTATTTTGGATGTGGAAAGTTAACTGCACCTTACAAAAGTGAGACTGTATCTGAGTTATACATTAACAGTAAAGATACTGAAATGATCTCAAGCATGAATTTATATAATCCAAATCTATCATTTATAACTTCAGCATTTGCATGTTCTAAACACCATCGATCATGATTTAGTAATGTTTAGTATCTAAGATTAACTGTCTTGATTTGGTGTTTTATCATTTTAAACCACATTCTGTTTTGGTTTTTCATTTTAGGATCGAAAATTAACAAAGTCTGAGAGGCAGAGATTTAAAGAAGAAGCTGAAATGTTAAAGGGTCTTCAGCATCCCAATATTGTTAGATTTTATGATTCCTGGGAATCCACAGTAAAAGGAAAGAAGTGCATTGTTTTGGTGACTGAACTTATGACGTCTGGAACACTTAAAACGTAAGTTCATCAATATTACAAAAGCTGACCAAGAAGTATGAGAGAGTTTGATTTCTTAAATTTCAGGTCTCCCAGTTTTACTTTTGTTGTCCAGCCTACTAAGAAGGGAACAATCCTTCCAACTGTTGCTGTATTAGCGCATATTTCCTTGCCCACAAAGTCCTCTGGTATATAAAGTGATTTGATAATTATTTCTTGGTAAGTATTGAAATGAGAAGTTATGGCCGAGTGTGGTGGCTCACGCCTGTAATCCCAGCACTTTGGGAGGCCAAGGCAGGCAGATCACCTGAGGTCAGGAGTTCGAGACCAGCCTGGCAAACATGGTGAAACCCCATCTCTACTAAAAATACAAATAGCTGGGCATGGTGGCGTGCACCTGTAATCCCAGCTACTCAGGAGGCTGAGGCAGGAGAATCGCTTGAACCCAGGAGGCAGAAGTTGCAGTGAACCGAGATCACCCCACT